AAAATAAAGCATAAAAAACAGCTGTGGCTGGCCATTACTTGCATTGGATTTAAATCATCCTCCACCTGATTACCCCTCTGCGACTCCTGTTGTTCTTTATTTACTTGAAGATGTTTAATGTAGACCTGCACATGATCCAGGGGCGGAGCTAGAAGGGGGGCCATGGCCACCCTTAGCTAATCATTGGCCACCCCTGTGGCAACCCTACCAAAGGCGTAATGACACAATAGGCTCGTAAGCAACATTATCTGGGTGGGCCACATATAAAGTACAACACCGCCTCCTCACCCACGCTCTATCCATTCATCTCCTGGTCGAAATCTTAACTCACTGTAGAAGCAACGTCCGCCTCCTCCTCTTTGGTCCTTTGAAAGAATGTGTTTATTTTTAATCGACACTCTGGATTACCCATAATTCCAAGTCATGGTGTAAAAACTAAAATACTCAAATACATCGTTCTTTAAGATCTTTATTGCAGTTTGAAACATATTATATGAGTGTATTTTTTACCAACCATCTAATGAACTACACAGTTATTAAAATAGTAATTAAAAGCACCACTGTCTACTTTGCTGTTGGTGTCGTGTTTAAACGGATCACCATCCTGTTGAAATCTGGCATGTGTTGAGGTACAAGGTCCGGTCTGTCAAACTAGTATCAGGTGATTACATCTGCAAAGAGATGTCCTAGTCCTAAATTCCATAGGGGGCCAACCAGGTGTCAGTGACGGGGCCCCTAATAGGTCGGGGGCCCCTAAACAAATGCAGTCTCTGCTTACCGATAGTTATGCCATTGAACCCTACCATTTATTTCCCTCTAATACAGATGGTGGCAACAGTAATACTCTCAAGTGGAATATTTAAAACATTTGCATTTTTAATATATTAACAATAACTTGACAACAAAAACACTGTGGTTAATTATGCTCATCAATATACTAACATTAAAGATGATAAATAAAGAATTTAAGCAGAAATAGATTTTGTGTTTAATGGGGTAAAGAGAAAATTATGTGTCTGCAAGTCATCTAGGAGTCTTCAGGGAAATCATAGATAAATCATCGATTTTAATAAAAATGTATTAAATAATCAAGTCATGTAGATATTAGTACTTGTAAATATCTATTTTATGCAGAATGATTATTGATAAAAGTAGGTAAGTAAAGGCAATGGAAATGATTTTCGCTCCATTTTATCCACTATACCTTTTATATAGAACGCACGGATGTTTGAATATATTCATCTATTTGGTAGCAAAGGCTGTGGAAAAATATAGTTCGTTTTATTTAGAAAATATTGATGTTTTGCTCATTAATTTTCCTGTTGGAACAGTGTAGATTGACAGTGAGGTTCTGTGCCTATCCACTGTCGGCCACCCCTCAGTGTACATTGGTTATTGCCTGTCCACCCTTATAAAATTTTCTGGCTATGCCTCTGACATGATCCAAATATATAATTGGCAACGCATTTAATTTCCCTAATTGTATAAAACTCTAACCCCGTGACAGACTTCCATAATTAAGCATTTATTGTAAAATTTGCTCAAATGTATTTCAATTTCATGGCAATTCTTTTCTCCCAGGTAAGTTAGTCAAAAGCATGAAATATTTCCATAATGGGTTACTGCATTTGCCTTTGCATGCATACAATTTCTCCAGGGAACCATGGCTTTTCCCCACGATACAAATATTTTTGATCTTTCTAATCCTCCTGGGTGTACGCATACATAGGTTTTCCCCCTGTGTATTTCTTTGTTGTCGAGCAGTTTCAGCAATTTCAAAAATTGACATTGCTGACTTCCTCTGTTAAGTGAATACTGCGTTATTTTAAATAAATATTTAATTCCATTCAAAAAATACTTTATTGATCCAATAGGAAATCAAATAACCAATACAACAGGAAAACATTTGGAAGGAATGAATGCAATGAAAATCTAGGTTGCTTTTAACCCCCATTTTCTTGATCTTTTTCTTGATCTGTTTATTTTCTATCACCCATCCTACTAATAGGTAACCTTTAAGGTCTAGATAATAAGAGTCTATATAACCCCATATTTCTAAATCCATCCTATTGGTTAAGAATTATTTTCATGCAAAGCTTGAATGTTTGAAACGAAATATAATTTATTCCATCTAAGCAGTCCCAGACAATTGCAACATTTCACACACTGATAAAGTGACGTAATACATTATGCGGCTCTAAATGGAAGCTATATAGCTGTTAAAGTACCAGACTGATTACTTAATGGCTTGAAGCAAGCTCCACTATCACAATCTGAAAGAAAAAAAAAGCAATAACCATAAAACTTCTAACCATACACCAGTTGTAATAATATAAACATTACAAAACCAGTTTCATGTCATTTATTTGTTTACTTATTTCACATACTTTGAAGTTTTGTGATAAATAATTTCCATGATTGAAAAGTCTTACTTTTGTTAAAGATTACCTTAAAAATTTTCTTTGGTAGAACATTTAAGTTTTGTACCAGTTTTATACATTGAGCTGCAATTTCTATAATAGATCATTAACATTTGAATAGATTGGTACATATCAGTTACATTCTCCAACAATTACAATGTGTTTTTCAGAGTTGTAATAATCTATAAAGCAAGACATAGCCCTGGACTGATATGTTAGGGACAAGAGCATTAATCAGAGAAATTCAGGTGGGAGAATCTGTTGATGGGAATATCATCAGTTGAGCTCTCCACAAATCTGATCTTTATGGAAGAATGGCAAGAAGAAATAAGGAGAGACAAAAACATGTGGGAGAAGGTGCTCTGCTTAGATTATAACATTTTAAAATGTTAAGTTACATGCAAAATGCTTCATATCATTCTGAACACGCTCTCTCCACTAAGAATCAAGGTGCCGACAGCATCATGCTTGGGACTGATTCTCGCCAGCAAAGACATCAAAAGCTGTTCAGAGTAGATCTGGGCAATTAATTGCATTTGCAATATAATTCCAATTGAACAAAATGCAATTTTTGAAATGGCTGAGGCACACATTTTTAATCACACTGTATTTACCAACAGTAAGACACTAAATGTCACACTCCAGGCCTTTAAATGGTGGTAAAATGCTTGAAAGGTAGAGAGAGTTGCAGCTGTCACGCAGATGCATGCATGCAAGTAGAAGTAAGTAAATCCTGCAACATTGGACTCTGTGCAAGCAAGCTTTTGAATAATAATAATTGAAACTTTATTGATTTAACATTGGAGAAATGTACCTCTGCATTTAACCCATCCCCTTGCGGAGCAGTGGGCTGCCATCGCGGGGAGCAATCGGGGGTTAAGGGTCTCTATGGCTCAGAGACTCATAGTGGCAGTCTGTAGGAGTGGGGCTTGAACTCCGAACCTCAGAACTCCAAGCTCTATGCACTAACCACTGGCCCACCACTCCCCCAGTAAAGAACCAAAAAGTCTGGGGTGAAACATGTACAAAATCTCTGTTAGTACAATTTTACATAAAATCACAATTTTGGTTAGAAATAATGGCAAATTTCAGCCCTGGTTCAGAGTTGATGGGAAGATAAATGGAAGGAAATACAGAACAATACTGGAGTCACACAGTTATACTCTATGTTGTGTTGGTGTATCAGATAACCTCCCAGTAAATACAGTAAAAAATCCTGGGTGAAGTATTACCAAACCTGAAGTTCAAAGGGTATTAGTACTTATGCAAGACTGACGTTTGGGTTGCAGTTTCATAAAACTGTTATGCTGACATACGCATACAGTAATGGAAGGGTTTATGAACCCAGCAATAATGCAATCATATATTTCTGTGATGTTTCAGATCAGATAGAACAGTTAGAGCTGCGTTCCACCCAGAAGAGCCCATCACGCCGCCACCTGGGAATCACCAAACACATAAAAATCACTCACTGTTTAGTCATCTGAGCAAGTAAACAAAGCAACAGTTAAAATGCAGCTTTGAATGACTAAGTAGTTATTTTCTAATACTGTCCAAAAATAAAAACAAAATAATAATGACTATAATTCCACAATATAAAACAACAATAAAGCAGTTTATTATCCCACTAGGAATACATAAAAATTTCTACCTGGATGACAGCCACTGCCACACAGATAGAGGCCTTTAACTGGTGAGCGGTAGTCAGAGAGTGAGGGCAAAGGTCGTGCTAGGTAGAGCTGGTCCAAAGACATTGATCCATGGAAGATATTCTGTGAAAACAGGCTCAAAATGTTTGCTATTGTTTGTGATTTTGACCTAAACAGGTACAGAGTTAAAACACAGAAATACACACATACAGTGTCTAGAAACAGATCAGTTAACTAAAAGAGCTGATGTGAACTTTGATTCTGACTCAAAAGTTTGAAATGTGCCTCTAACCATTAACTGCTTAGGCAACAGGCTCTGTGACGGACCAAGATTACTTCCCCCTTCAGCAAAAAGCTGACTGTGTCAAACAAATGAGCTGCGTGTCAACATTCAAATGGCTACTCAGTTTTAGGATGTGTGACGTGTACAGTCTGTACCCCTCCGGTGAGTCCAAAGATCCTTTCCAGGTCTGGGGGTGACAGGATGTCTCTGCCGACGACAGAACTTTTAAACCCTGGGGCATATTGTTCCACCCAGTCAAAAACTACAAAAACAGACAGAGACTTTTTAACTGAAGCTGGTGCAATCAAAAGATTATCCATATGTCAAACAAACACCTTTGTTTAAAAATTTAAAAGGTCTTTATAATAAACACATTCTGCCGACTTGTATTCACCAGATTTAAATGTAGTCCGCAAGAGAAAATGTTAGCAAGGCATATTTTTACCATAAATGAAATTTGTGTCTCTAACCAGTGTCTGCAAATGCCTCTCGGTCCTGTTCGGTCCACTCCCTGCCTTCTATGTGGTAGGGGGTAAACTGGGTGAACAGTGACACTACATGGCAGCCAGGGGGAGCTAAAGTGGGGTCCAAAACAGATGGAATGGTCATCTCCAACATAGGTCTATAGGAGAGGAGAACATAATACAGTACAGGTTTTATACAGATTACTCTTCACTAGCTTTTTAACTAGCTATTTCATATGGTTGGCTGGTGATTTCCAACTATCTACTTATAAAATATTGAATCAGTATGAAATCATATTATATTAATTAATCAATCATACTGCATATATTTTTCACAGAGTAGAAGCAAAAAGATTCATCCAATCAAAGGCTAAGCAGGGTAATATTCTGTGTTAAAAGTACCAATTTATGTTTCAGAGTAATAAAGACTTGCAATGAATATGAATGATTCTGAAACAGAAGAATGGAAAAATAGGATATACCTTGTTGAGGGGCGCCCATTCATGGCCTCCTTATACGCTGCCTCTAGTACAGCCACATGTTCACAGTTTAGATGTATTGAGCACTGATGATGGGGTCCAGGTTTATTATGTGGGGTGGGTGATGCCAGGAAGTTTGGAAGCTTGTCTACTGCCACTAAAGAGGTAGATGCCCAAAAAGAACAGTTTTGTTTTATAGTTGATGAAAAGGAGAGAACTTCTGCCATTTCTTAAGACATTTTAACAAATCCCAAAGGTTAATAAAATGCAGGAATGAGGCATGCAAACTGCTTCTATAAAACATGTGTAAACTGATCATTTGCTCTTAGGAGCTCGGCGAATTAAAGAGAGAGGTCATATGATAGGATCTAATCTTTCTAATAAATTCAACGGTTACATTCTTTCATCATTAAAGGAGCCAAAAGGCAGTGACAGAGAAGAAGGGGGGCAGTGCCTTTTAGGAGGAATAGTGAAAAAGTTGCCAAATTTTCTGCAAAGTCACAACCTACAGACCTGCAAACTTTATGTGTGCATCAGAGTGACTCAAGGATAACATGGGAATCAGTGTTCAAAAAGCTGCGTTCAAGTGGAATAAATGAAGTGGTTAGTCCAGTGCAAACATGTTCTGTGGAGGGATAAACAATATCTTTCCATTAGGCAATATGGGTCTGGCAATTGTCAGGTCTTTGTCTGTCTGCTCTTCCTCAAGTGTAGAGTTGGGGCAGAAGGGACCTAATGTGAGATCATACCTAGATAAGAGAGTTTGGTGCACAAGAATTTGATAGGCCTGACCTCCATCCATCTTTGGGATGAATAAGGGGGCGGAGACTGTGAACCAAAACTTCTTGTTCAAAAATCTATGACAGTGTATTAGTGTAAAGAAAAGAAAACAATGTGGCCAGAGAGGAGCAGTAAATATGCCAATAAACTTTTAAGTTCCTAAATTCAATTAACATGTTAAGAAAAAAAAACATTCAATGTCAAACTGTTGGAAATTTGAAAGATGAAAATTATGATTTTACAATTTTGAAGGCATGAATTTATGGAACTAAACTTAATCTGTGACCCATAGTGCAATGCTTTTATATCAGTCGATTTTGATATGAGCCAGAATTAAAAATGTAACCCAAACCTATTTAATCATAACCTTTAGAATAGGTCAGCCCTTCAGCCAGCCTTGATACGAGTGGCCCTGAGAGGTTGGGAGACTGAATCCTTTTCTCTTCCCTAAATTCTCCTGAATAGTATGTAGTTCTCAATTGGAATGGGAAACTACTGAAAATTACATATGACTATTTTTTCTTTTTACTGACACTAACCACAATATATACCCTTACTGTATTATTGCACTTATCTAGGTTAGTTTCAGGTTATCTTTTAACTTTGATGAATAATTTTGTTCTGGAAGTTCACTTATTTTCTTTTTCTACATTAAAATTAGCTAATAATTCTTTAATATTATTCTTGGAATGTGCTGTAAAGGACTGATCAACCTGACTGTCAAAGTAGCTGTGTATTGGCTTCTTTTTCTCCTTCCTTGTTCACATTGTAGTCTCTAAGTAAAACATTTTCACACATTAGACAGTTACTACAAATTCCTTTAAAGTGAATACATTTCTGTCGGATTCTAAAACCAAATGCAAATAAAAGAAGCCTTACGGAAAATATGAAGGTACTACAACTTCAACATAACATCCCTTTTAGGATTCTGCTATACTTCAAGATAGGACAGATTACAATGAAGGCTGTACCAAAAGCAGGACAGGCTCACCATTAATCTTCGTAACAGGTGAGGTGTAGTCTATCTGATCTACAGCTTTCATGAACTCTTCAGAAAGAGCCTCCTAATGAACAGAAGTTAGGGATCAGCCAAACAATTTCGTGAGCAATGCCAACATAAGATTGCAATTCTCAGTATTACCTTCGGCGTCAGGCTCTTAAAGGTAATATAGGGGGTGGCATTTGATAAAACCACTTTACTGTGAATTTCTGTGCCGTCTTTTAGGGATACTCCTTTAGCTGCACCCTCTGAATCAATGAGGATCCATCCTACATCCTGTCAAAGACGCAGTGGAGAAACATCCAACCAGGTTCCTCAAGCAGAAATTGGAAAATATAATCATTTTTAACAACCACCTTACCTTTTCTGTAAAAATGTCTACTCCATAAGACTGAGCAGCTTTTGCTATAGCACGGGACACACCTCCCATGCCTCCCTCCACATAACCCCATGCTCCTTTCTCTTTCTCCAGTTCCCCCATTACGTGGTGCAAGAGTACGTACCTTGTTTGAAAGCATTTGGCATTTAATTCTGCTCCGGTACATTTATAATGGTGAGCAAGAGATGTTTCTCACCCACTACCGGGGTTACTAGGACTGGTCATGGCTCCTATAACACCGTCAGTGGCCAATGTTGCTCTCAGTGGCTCTGAATCGAACCACTGAGTGAGAATCTTTGACACAGAACAGACGAATAATAAAAACACAGTCGAGAAGGTGCGCTTCATTTGATAAAAGATCCAACACACCTTCATTATTGGTGCTGTTATAATCTGATAAAGGTCTGGAATATTTCCTCCAAGTTTGAGACCTTTGGATCCAAAAAGAAACCAGTTAAAGCACTGAAGTTAAAGGAAAATGGAAAACAATCATTTATCATGCATTGGTCCACGAACCACATTTGAGAAAAGGCAGCAGTGTTTTGGCAGCGGTCAGCCTCTTCCTTGGTGATCCAGCAGTAATTCCTCGTATATCTACAGGTGGAGCGTCTAGTAGAGGGTGGATAGCGCTGGCTAACTTTTCAAGGTATGCAGCAAACTCTGGATAATTCTAAAAAACAATGGGGAAAATGTGGAGAGTAAAGGGAAGCAAAGCAAATGACAGTCTAAGGAGAAATCTAGTGATGGGTCCAGAAACTCCAGTGCATCGGTGCATGCGTCAAGCTCCTAGAGCAAAACCCTGTATCACCGCACGTATCGTTTCAAGAAAGTCCCATGACTGATACAGGAGCTGTTAAGAACTCACTGCACTACATTTGTTTTTAAGTGCATCTACCAAAAAATTCCTCTGATCTTTTGAGGTTCATTATCAAATTCATGAAAAATATGAAGCAGCCTCAGGAAAAACAGGTTTTAGCTGCCTGGGGCCATTTTGATCGCATTTTTGTTTGAATTTTCTCATTGGACCATTCTTTTCCTCTCATTATAACTCGAGTTATTGGAATTTAAATTAAATTCAAATTGACTTTTAATTTACAGTACTTTACTTATTGTTTTTCTATCATAGTCCATATTCTCATTAAGGTCATGGTTTTGGTTCTGTTTAAGTGTTTATTTCCATTTTGTGTTTTTCTGGTATTGTTTTGGTTATATTTGAGTTGTTATGCATTTTTTATTTACCCTCTGTTTCCCTCTTGTGTCAGTCTCCTTCTCCTATCTAATTTCTAGCAACTTCTGTCCACACCTGTTCCTCATCTCCTCAGCTAATTTCTCTTCCCATTGTTTCTGTCTCCCTTAAATATGCCTCCTGTTTGGTTTCTTAGTTCCTCATGTTTTTCCTGATGCCTCCTGAATTTTTGGTTTTTAGTATTTTTTTTTGTTTGTTTTTTGTGGAATTTTGCTTCTGTTTTCCTTTAAATCATTATTAAAGCTGCATCTCTGCCGCCTTCCGTCTCTTCATTTGGGTCCTCAACTAACTTCCACTAAAACTGACAATTCACATGTTCAGCTAAATGTTAATGTGTTCACACCATTTATTGACTGCATCTAAAAATATTAAAGCTATTTTCATTTGAAACGAAGATAAGAAAATATACTATTTAACACAGAATTACTTATTGTTGTACTAGTTTATCAAATCAGTGGTAGTTTAGTCTGTCAAATAGGCTGGATGTAGGGATTTTAAAGGTCCAGTAGGTGTCAGTATTGAGTAACATAGAATCAAGGCAGTATCAATACAGCTTTCAACCCTTCATGACGCCTCATCAACCCATCACTAGTTTTCATGCAGCAAAACAGGTCACACACAGCACACAGTCATTTATTAAATATGCTTAAATAAACCTTAGCGTCCTTTTGTGAAAACTTGCCAATCTCATCCTGGTTTTTTGCCAGATCTGAACCCAGGATAAGGGACCTTGGTGGGGCCCCCTTTACACCCTCCTCCAACATGGGGGTGTAAGAATGGGGGTCTCTCATGAATACATTCAGGCCATGTTTCTGCACACAAAAAAAAACATAGAAATGGAGAAAAACAGGGGTATTACTTGTGCATTCATTTTAAGACTGTAAGACATCAGCAAAATGCAGTTGAAACCAGATTTTTACATAAACTGAATAAAAAAACACTTTTTTTTACATCTGTTATCAGAAGCACTTATAAACAGTATGTCAGCTTTCATACCAATTGGAAAGCAGAGAGTGTACATTTCCCAGAGAATACAAATTTTAGGTAAAACAAAATTATTTCTCCCTTGACCGTAAGCAAAGTTAGCTCTTAAGATGCTGGCAACCATGGAAATTCCCCCTACAAGGAAGAAGCATTGAAAGTCAAATTTGAGCTTGAAAATACACTTATGTATGTTTTTGTAGGCAGGATCTGTCATTTTATCAAACAATTTTTTTTTTGTTTTTCCCTAAAATAATCACAATTACTCATAGGGAAGTGCAGGGGTTTGTTGCATTATGTTGTGCAGCTGCTGGAGAAACTGTTTCCCTTTAAGTTAAATTGCATCAAGAGAAAATAACATATTCTCACATTTAGTAAACCAGAAGTAGATATAAAATCTAAACAGGGAATTTAGTCTAATTTAATGTCTGTCAGTGACAAATGCAATATCGAGTACACTTTTATACAGTTTATGTAAATATCTGGTTCAGACAGTAAAAGAAATGTTTGGAAGTGATTTGGATCTTTATACCTTAAGCTCGAGATCCCTGTAAATGTGAGGTCGTAACAAACTGAGCAAATAAGAACACCTGGAGAAGTGAAAACCTGAAGACAAGAGATTTTCTTTTAGACTGAATGAAAACAGTATAGTAAGTAAAGCAAAAAACAGATAATTGAAAAAAAACTAAATATTTTTGTTGTTTTTTCTTTGTTTCTACTTGGAAAGGAAATTAATAAAAATACTTCTTCCAATGTTCATGAATAAAGAACGTGCCATGAAGTGATACCTAGAACTGCCCAATAAGCCCCTGAACTGAGTAAGCTTATTACCTCATTCCTTTAGTTTATATTATAAGCTGCAAAATAAAAGCTTATGAGCTGATACTATGAACAATTAAAACCTATTGCTTTGTTAGTTCACATAATCAGCTGTTTATTGTAATTGCATGACTCATTTCTTGTGAACTAGTTAAGCAGGTTTGTTTCCTGTTTGGATCCATCCTACCAGGAAATATCTCCTCTGAAACAGCAGCTCCTCCAAGCACATGTCTGCGTTCCAGCACTGCAGTCTTCACACCTCCCTTCTGAAGATAGGCAGCCTGCACACACATAGTACCTTTGATCCCATGCTGGAAGATATACAGGTGTAAAGACTAAACAGGTTAGGAAATAATTGCATGAACTCACTGCCACCAGGCCGTTATGCCCTGCAGAGAAAACAGGTTTTGCATGTGATTACATTTAAATTGCATGAACAAAATAAAAGCTTGGTGTTTAGTTGCATCTGAATTGTGCAGGTTAAAAAGCAGGTAAAATTAGACATGCTGAATTCAGCAAATCCAAATCACAGACATGGCACTCCAAGTTTTAGTTTCCAAAACTTTGTGACTTATTTTCACCTCCTCCGATGATCAGCGCGTCATAGTTTGTTTTTAAAGCGGAGTGATTTGATCTGGATCCTCTCAGTAGCAGAGCCTGGAGCCGACGGCCTCGATTCGTCCACACAGCTGCAGCCATGGCAGTACAAGTACCCCTTTCTGTTTGCTGCAGCGAGGTGCTTTTCTGGCAGTAGGGAAATGATCATGTTATCTAACATCGATCCCGCCTCTTTTCCTTTTCTGTGCTCGGAAAATTTGGTCCGGGTCTCAAGCTGCAACAGCACCTCGCTCTGTCCACTTTTTTTAATCCCCATCTTTGCCGCTGCAGCCTCTGAAGAATCAACAGTCGTCCGTGTATGGCAAGCCTTTTTAACATAAATTCGGTTTCGTCTGACCATCCATAATTACGTTCCAGATATCTTAAAATACATTTTGACAAGAAAAAAAAACACACTTTGACAAGTCAGAATGTCAATTTAAGATATCTTTAATGCAAAAAGCTGAATAATTGAAGATATCTTAAATTCATTTAGAGATATCTTAAAAGGAATTTCGAATAGTCGAAATTACAATTCAGGATATCTTTAAATTTCCTAAAATACATTTAAGATATCATAAATTATGGTGGCATTTGAGATATATTTAATTAGAATTATGACTAGTCAAACTGAAATCGAGATATCTTGAAATAACTTTATGACTTGTCATAATTTAATCGTAGATATCTGAATGTGTATTTCAAAAAGTCAGTAATTCATTCTAGATATCTTAAATTGACGTCTCCATACAAGTTAAGGGTAAATCTGACGTCATTTCGACTAGTCCGAATGTTATTAGATATATCTTGAATAGGTATTTTGACTAGTCAAAATATAATTAGAGATATCTTAAATCACTAAAACATCTAGTCATAAAACATTATATCTTAAATGGTTGTCCCCCTACGCAAATGTGGATTAGGACATCTCTTTGCAGATGTGAAGGTGTGAAAAATTATTCTCTAAATCCCTGACCGGACCTTATTTATACCCCAACACTTGGCAGAATTTAACAGGATGGTGAGCCATTTAAACACGAAAACAATAGCAAAGCACTATTAATTACTATGTTAATAACTGTGTAAAGTTCATTGGACGGTTGGTAAAAAAAAAAAAACACACTCATATAATATGTTTTAAACCGCAATAAAGATCTTAAAAGAATAATGTATTTGACTATTTTACTTTTCACACTGCAACTTGGAATTATGGGTAATCCAGAGCGTAGATTAAAACCAACCGTTATGTAAAATGTACGTAGGTTGGGCGGGGGGGATGGGGTGTTGTACTTCATATGGGGCCCACCCAGATAATGTTGCTTATGGGCCTATTCTTGTGTCGTTACGCCATAGGTTATTATATAATAACTTTGACGGTGGATCAAATATTGCCAGTTGAAATATTATCTTGAAAAATATTCAGTGGTGGACAAAGTAATCAACAGTAGTACTTGAGTCAATATATTGATACTGGTAGTCAAATCTTACTCAACTACAAGGAAAAGTTACCTGATAAAACATCTACTGAAGTTGAAGTACTGAAGTACTGTCTTTTAAAAATAGTTAAGTAAATTTAAAAGTATTTAAGTATTCCAAAAATACAAATCATATTTTGTAATATCAGTACATTTCTGTCTAATTTTAAAGAACCTTGTAACTTTCAGAAACCGCCCTGTGTACTGGGCCCTGGAACCACTCTGCCACCATTTCTAAACCACCTTTGAAGAACTTTAGCATATAAATGCCACAAAAACATAAGGACAGCTATTTTTATTAGTATTTCATATTTAGAAACAAACCAAAAAACAGGAGTGTCTTGCTTCTCCTCACATTGAGCCTATGGATAGAAGTTTAAGATCTGTTAAAACAAAGAAACTACAACTCTGATTTGAGAAATCATTCTACTGAACAACTTGGCCACATGGCAACAACTAACACTGTAATAACATTTATAAGCTGCAAATAATATCTGCCCTGAGTTTCTCACATTTGTGGAATGTCATGCGAATCTGTAAAACAGTAGTGTCCAAATTCAGTTATAAGGGCTGCTGTCTTGCATGTTGAAATCGCATTTGAAAAAAAAAAAAAAAAGCAACAGTGGATTACAAAGCTAAGCTGAGCCAAAAGTAACAAGTAACTAGCAGCGTTCTCAAATGTAGAGGAGTAGAAAGTACAATATTTCACTTTGTAATGTAGTGAAGTAAAAGTGATACATACCCCCCTCCCCCACAAACACAAAAAAAAAATGACTCAAGTAAAGATACTCAAAAAAGTTCTTAACAGTAATCAAGTAAATGTACTTTGTTACTTTCTACCACTGAAAATATTGTATTTGTTTATAGTAAGTTAGAAACATCTGCAATGTGTGGCCTACATGTGGTATACCTTTACTTTGAAACCAGTAAGTTGATTTCCCTCTAAATTTACATGTTTAATAAATGAAATCCACCTCTGTGTATTCGATTCTCCTTATAAGTCTAACTGATCTGTGAAGATCTTTGGGGTTTTTTTTTAGAAATCATTTGTGAACAAAAAGGTAAATTATTTTCAAGAAGCAGAGCAGACAGGTCATGGGTTAAGCTGTAGAGGTTTTAAACATTGTTTGGTTAAAAATAAAATCCACAAAATTGAAATATGTTAGAGAACACTGTTTTCTCTTGCATAGAAGCCCCAAGACACATGTAATTGGACATACTCGACTCAGATTAGACCAAAATTTACCTAATGGCCTGCAAAAGATAATGTGCAGTAGAAACTGAACTGTACACATCACCCACAGTAGAGATGGCATTAGGGGTGTGGGAAATAATCCATTTGGAGAAATATTGTGATTTTCAGCTGCCCGATAGGATATTGATCCTTTCAGTTGTTAGTATCAATTTCAAAGAAACAAATAAATTTTACCTAGAACAATGAGGGAGTGGCTGTGCAAAGGTAGCCTAGTGGTGGGGAGCCCTTTTCCTGTGCGGTGCAGCACCATATCTGTAGTTAAGTCAATTACAGTGCAAGACATGGACTGCCTCAAACCCCAAACAACGTAACTGAAAGATCAATACCTTCTGATGAATATATACAGCACTTGCTTTTTTATGTATTCATTTAAATTCGATAGCTGGGAACAAAGGTTTAACTTAGTAAGGAAAGTTGGTGGGGACACGCCAAGGGTGGCGGCTGATGGACTTACACCTACTTGACAGAAACGCTTTCAAAAGGGGTTGTTTTTTCCAAAAATTAGCTCTAATATATATACTGATATTTATATTTATAGGTAGTTAAAAGTTATTGGGAAAAAAAAGGATGCATAACAGCCGATTCTGATGCCAACATCAATAAATAATGCCTCCCTAGAATGGAAACAATTTCAGTTTCATTCATCCATCAATCCACCCAGAAAAATGTGGATGGATTGACGGATGTTTTCCCTTTCAGCTACATCAGTGATGATCTTCCTTCAAAAGCAGCAAAATTAAATTTAGAAATTTGTCCCAAATATTGTTGAGAGCCAAAGTCTATGTATTGAAAATATTGGTGGGGACATGGCAGCACCAGTTCTTCAGAGAGTTACACCCATGGCTGGGAAAAATATTGCAGTGTATACTGTTATTACAATATCATGATAATATTGTATCGTGATCCAAGTATTGTGACATGTATCGTATCGCAACACCCATGACAATACTTACCCCTAGTTGGTACCTTAGGGAAGTAGGTCAGAAGACATATAGAACTAGAACCAAGAATACAGTGAAAGAAAACCTGCAAAAGATTGACATTAGGGCATAGGTTAAACCTTCCAGCAGGACAGTGAGCCCAAAGCTGGAGTGACAATGTGTGGTTTAGGTCTACCTGCTGGGCCTAGACCCCAATCTAATTAGAAATATTGGATAAAGATATAGATAAAAGCTGAAATTACAGTTCATAAATAGACTTAATCCAATATGATTTAGCATTAACTATTTTTTCAATAAATATACACACACAAAAAAAATCCAGTTTTTGGATGTGAAAAGAGAATTACAACAAAAGTCTGTAGCTTTAATGGAAGGAAAGGATGACTCAGCAAAGCAGACAAAATGATAAATATATGTGCTAAATCATTTTCATTTTTAAGATATGGTGGAAAACATATATTGCTTTCACCACAAAATCTTACTTAACTAGAAAGCTTCTAAATGTGAACAGTTATAGATCATTTTCTTAGCAAGAGTGCTACTTTTATGATAAATGAAAGCAGTAGATTATGCTGTAAGTATCCAAAAAGACCAAAAGGGGGCAGAGTGGACAAACGTTTAAACCCCTTTTATTTTGACAAATCTCACTAATTTTAGCATAATGTGGAAATAGCTAATAAATAAATAAGGAAAGACCTTCTGCTGATATTCTTGTGAATGTATTGATGATTCACATTTTCATAAAAGTAAAGGGGGAAATAAACAGGAAACATATACCTGTTTTCCATACTTTCTTCATAATGCAATTCATTTTCTAAGACTAAAAAATTAAAAAACTTCTAAAATAAGAAATTTCTTCAAGGCAATCATTTCACAGCTTGTCCGGATGTTCACTCAAGTCATGTCAAGGTATAAGAGCTCACCTTAAGAACTTTTAGAGGGGCTCTTAACGCAAAATGGTTTCCTAGTGCTGCTGTTAAAGGTGTCATCTTGGCCTAGTGGTTCATTTACTATACATTAATGAGGTAAGAGGCCATAGATCATGATGTCCACCTACATAGCTGCAGTCTGTTAGGTCAAGCTGGAGATTGCCGGTCAAAATCTGAAGGAAGAAGTAAATACTTTTATTGGGGGAAAAATAGCCAAACACAGCAGAAGATAAGCAAGTTAGAGTCTCATCTGTTCCATATAGTGAGGATTTTGACTGGATTTTGCTTAGGCAGCGTAAAATAATTCCTGAGGTTTACTGAGATTGTGCACTCTCTCCGCAGGAGGGGATGAAATAGGAAGCTACTGTGATCTAGGGTTTCCTAAAAGACTTAACCCCCCCTTCCTTCACCATATTAGACTAGCATTAGTTTCACGAATGAGAAATGATCCTGATACTGTGTCTGCTTGGTTTTCCTTAAAGGAGCGTCTGCGGCAGCGGCCAATCAACCTTAACTGGATCAGACTATCCAGGCAGGAGATTTTGTTCTTGTAAGCAGAAATTAACACTTCATTCCCCTTTGTCGGCAGAAATTCAACACTGCAGCCGTTGAAGGCTCTCTCAGGCAATAAAGGACCAAAATCTAATTACACTTTAACAGCTCTGCACCAAAACACAATTACCCTTTTTTTAGTTAAAACGAAAAAAAAAAAAAAAAAAGTGGGGGAGGTTGCAGGGGCAGGCAAATACATTCACTGGTGATGTTATGTTTCTGAGCATTTATCAACAGTAGTCAAAAACTATAGTTTCCCAGTGATTCTAAAATGAGCTTAAATAAATGTTCCTTACTTTCTCGGTTCATTTGGATAGATAGTGACCGAAAACCTGGAATGGGCTTCATGTAAACAATTAGTCTCAATTAACAAGTGGACACCGGTCCTTATGGAAGCCTAACGAAAAAATGAATAATGATAAGTTTGAGAGATGCAAAATCATACGGGATCTCTTTAACATCATCGCATATAGAAATTAGAAATGTGGGAATTCCAGCATAACACCCACCTTTAAGGATAACACTGCAGTAGGAAGGGGTTAGGGCTACTGTACTAGTGTATAAAACCCTTCGTTTTTCCCTCTTTACTACATATTCTAATTGAGATTTTTTTAAATGATCTTGCGAATTATTCTTTAAGAATAATCGAGATCTCAAATCTGTCTTTATGTTGCTTTTTCACTTGCTTTATATCCACTCCCTGTTTAGTTTGATCTAATATTATTGTTATTTTATTATCTTGTGTTTTTCCACTTGCTTCTGCTATAAAACATACATAAATGACCTGGTAAACTTATGAGAGAAACACGCATATTGTTTATGAATAACAGAGAATTTAGCATAGAAACACATTTAAATTTGAATTCAAGCCTGGTGGTATACAGTCACAGTTGACTTGGTGATATTCTTAGACTTTTATTGTCCTTTTGTATACACAAAGTGTATAAAAAATAAAATTTCATTTTGGAAAGCTTTCATGACATTTACATTTCTTAAAGTACAGCACTTACCAAATTGAAACAGTGTGGGAGTAAAACATGGTGCAAAAAAACCGCATTGGTATGGAAGTTCCGAGCATTAAATATATACGGTGCAATCATGCAGAGTTTTGGTTTCATGTTGTCAGTGTGATGCACAGTCTGTGACATGATTTAGAGTGTTTTTTAACAGTTCAGCTGTCTGATGGCGGTGGGGAAGAATTTATTATAGAATCTGCTAGACCTGCATCAAATGCTGCGAAGCCTCTTCCCAGAGGGAAGCAGGGAGAACAGTCCATGGTAGGGGTGTGAGGGGTCATTTATGATGTTACAGGCTCAGGACATGCAGCGCTGGGATGAAATGTCTTTAATGGAAAGAAAAGGAGCCCCAATGATCTTCGCTGCTGTTCTCACCACTCGTCTCACTTCCTTCCAGTGTGAGGCGCTGCAGCCTCCACACCACACAGTCTAAAACTATACATAAAAATCTGATTCCCTATCCTGATCTACCTTAATTTCGGGGTGTGTATGTGCATGATCGTTATTTTGTAACCATTAAGTCTAAATGATGCAACAGACTCCCTGCTGCCTTAAAGGGATTAAACCTGTAAAGAAAGGTTTCTTTTGGAACTTTAGTAGCATACTTTCACTAAAACATCTGCTTTCGTTATATGGTAATTAGCCTGTATTTATATGGAAGCTGAGCAGCAGCCATCCCGTCTCATTATGTTTTTCAGTTTTTAACAGAAAAATACACTGAAGAAAATAAATGTTTTATCCATCCATCAATCCGTCAATCTGCATTTTTACATTTACAATTATCATAAAGAAAGATGCAAGTGAAGCTTTTTTTGCTTTGATTTGATACTTTTTAAGTTAAACAGTTTCAATAATTTTCTAATTAAAAATCCACAACATTCTGTGTGAGATTAATGATCAAATATCTTGGTACCACACAAAGGGAGCAGAGTAGTAACTGTAAGGGAGACAAAAATAACTACAACAACAAATAGAAAAACAAAAAAAAAAACAGGGAGCTGCAGGAAAAAAGCTGCAGCAAATTGTCATAGCAACTACTTGAAGGTATCTTTATGCCAACCAGCTGTCTGCAACCTCAGATCACAAACTGCTATCATGTGCTTTGGTCAAATGAGACGCAGCTCTAGCTTTTAGCTAAAAAAAACTTGTGATGGATATATTCTAAAATAAAGAAGTATTTTGTGGAAAAGCACCTCATTCCCACTGTGATTTATATAAAGGTCTGTTTCCCTTCTAAAGGCATCAGGGACTTTGTCAAGGTGCAGCAGCACATGGCATCATGCAATCTCTAAATACCAGGATTTAATGAAATATCAGGTGGATTCTAAATACAAACTAATAAATGGATCGGCAATAGGTCTTTCAACAGGAAAAAGAGCTAAAAATGGCCGAAGCTACACATAGAGTGTTTACAGGCCTTTCCCAAGCCTTTCACAATATTTGAATTGAGATCAAAGGTCACTCTCTTTAAGCTGCAACCTCTTAAATATTATAGAACAGTAGCGTTTGACTGTAAAAAAAAAAAAAAAAAGTAAAAAATATTTTTTTTTTTTTATTTTTTTTTTTGCTATTAAATAGATGCACACAAAATTGAATTGTAGTTGTTTTTTTGCACTGGTGCACTACAACAAAAATAATACCAAAAGGTCAGACCACTTCTTGCATGCTATTAGAGCTAGATACCCTGATTTAGCAGAAATTTCTGAAATTAAATATACATTACTGGAATCTAGTAATACATTACTACAACAAGTATATGTTGTACTTTACTTTTACTTTGTCTTAGCTATTTTAAATTTTAAATATTTCAGAATGTAAAATCAAAGGTTTATTATTTAAACTATTATTTAGCTTTTTTAATTACGTGGGTAGTGAAATGGAGCCTACTTACTTTACTTCAGTAAGTAAGAAAATTACTTTCATGTATATGTATTACTTCGATGTACTTTTTATTTTTGCTTAAGTAATATACTTTCTACTCGAGCAACTCTACCCAGGGGCGGAGCTAGATGGTGGGCCAGGGGTGGCCATGGCCACCCTTAGCCAATCATTGGCCACCCCTACCATTTTTTCCTCTCAAGTAGAATATTCAAAACATTTAATTTTACAATTACTTGTCAACAAAAACGTCGTGGTTAATTATGCACATCAATATACCAACATTAGATCATTAGTACAGAATTCATGCTCTTTCAGAACTAGATTTTGTGTTATATGCTGTAAAGAGAAAATGATGTGTCTCTGCAAGTCATCTAAGAGTCTACAGTGAAATTATAGATACTATAAATAACTATTTTAATAAAAACATATTAAATTATCAATTTAAGTAGATATTAGTAACCATGTCTGTTCCACCACATATAGTCTTTAGAATTTCTGGCCCCCATTGGCCCCTGTGTAGAACCGGCCATGGTGAGGAATGATGACACCGTGGCGAGGTGCACTGTATGCTGAAGTCCCATGAAAAACAGAAAGCACAACCGATGTTCAAGGATACAAGATTGAAAGTATTGAAAATTGAAAATAAAAGACCACTACTGTTCTGTTTTGTGTTTAAGAAATTACTGTTAAGTAATAAACAGTTGTTGAGAAGTTGCTGGCCTTAAGTGTGTATGTATGGTGCAAGTTGCTGATCCGTTGTACCCGGGGGTCGGGGGGTTAAGCATCTCCCTGAAATGAGTTTTTGGAGCTTGGGATGTCTGTTAGTACTTGTAAATGTCAATTTAATGTAGAATGATATTGATAAAAGTAGGCAAGTAATGACGATGGAAAAGATGTTCGCTCCAGAACTCGAACCAAATAGAATTTTATCCAATATAGCTTTTATCTAGACGAATGTTTAAATATATGCATCTATTTGTTAGCAAATGCTGTAGGAAACTATAGTTTGTCTATATTTAAAAATGTGGTAAACAATTGTGCTTGTTCCTGTTGGAACAGTGTAAATTGACCCTAAGGTTCTGGTGCCTATCCACTTTTGGTTATTGCCTGCTGGCCACCCTTATGAAAAGTTTCTGACTATGACTCTGACTCTACCCACCATGCGTAACTTGATCTAATCAAGACTGAATTTATAAGTTTATGTTGAAAATGTTGACTATATCTGATACTGTGAGCCAACAAATTCTAATTAGTCCTTGAGTTGCCATTTTACCAAGTAGTTTGAGATATTTCTCGGACCGCTGCTTTCTATTTTTACTTGCTTACATTTTTTATTTATTTATTGATGTATTTATTTATTGGTCCTCTACCGACCTCTGCTTAAATCTTATTTAGTTTTAAATATTTTTTTTGTTTTTAATGTATTTTGGGGGTGTGCCCTTCAAGTGCGAAGCCATTTGACAAAGTGAAGTTTTCAACAAAAACAGTCATGATTGGCATATGTTTCATCCAATAGCGTGAAAAGGTTAGGTCTCCAATGAGCGATGACGTCTTCATCCCGCCGTCGGTCGGAGCTGGATTTCGGCCTTCCCCGCTGAGCTGTTTGGGAACAGGCTGTAGAGGCGGGGACTAGAGAGTTGTAGTAGGAAGGGAGCTGCGAAGGAACCCCAAGGGAATGTGAAAGTCAAGGCCTGAAATTCCCCACAATAAGACTTCTCATACGGCCTGGTTTCTCATGGAAGCAGATGGATTTGTAAGGAAACGTCGGATGACAGCGGAGAACGCGGGCAGCGATGCCGGGGTTGCAGGAGCCTCTGCAGGGGCAGAAGTTCGATGGTTCGGGGGCAGATTTTGGGGAGTTTCTGAAAGTATTGTGAACAGCTTAACGCCCCGCATCGGAGGGGAATCGCAGCTACAAAGCGTGGATGCAGTCTGTGCAGCTCAAGACACTCTAACGGAGGACTCTGAACCTGACTATGAAGGTCTGCCACAGGGAGCTTCTACTAGCACCCACATGTTGGCTGGAGCCGTTGCTGGTATCATGGAGCACTGCGTTATGTTTCCCGTCGACTGTGTGAAGGTAGCAAGGCTCACTGCTATCAGCTGAATGATAACTTCCTATAAATGTTGAATGTTTCTGCAATGGGGTTCCGTTATGATCTCTGGGCGTTATGTCAGGCAGCTTGTTTGCTAGCATAGCACATTAGCATTCAGGCTAACACGTTGTAGACCTGTGACGAAGGTCAGCTGGCTCAGTTACATTATACAGCCTCGGCTAACTGGTTAGCAGGCTATTTTCTTAATATTTTTTAGTTAACGTTTGCTTCTGGTTTTATTTCACAACTTTAAACTTAGTATGAAGTGCATTTTTTTCTGTTTCTAAATATTAAATTTAACTTCAGCTGCTGTCAAAACTTAGAAGGAAACTGTTATGCAACTACCTAGACCTAAAGCAAGCTACGGCATCCCGGACGGTCAAAATACTAGCAACTATACTAAACATTTGTAATCTAGTTATGTGAGGTCAAGAGAGTAAATAAGAAAGAACAAGAAAATAGAAAAATGGCAAAATTCTATAAAACAAACATACAGTGATGTTCAAAACACAAACACCTTTTACAGGTTGCTTAACAATGTAAACAATGTGAGAAAAATAATTAGATATTTGCATGCTTAAAAACCACTGTGTTGTTCATTTTTAATTCTCTCCTTAAATATAACTTCATAATAAATATTTGTTTTTACATTGTTAGACATGTTCCTTTTTTTGGAATAAATTCAGGTATATAGTGCATCTTAATATTAAACCATTACATATTTTTCAAATTATTTGTTTTATTTCATTTATTTCTTTTATAAGATAGTTTATACCTATTTCATTTTAAAAAAATCAGTTGAAATAGAACCATAAAAACGCCTACTGTCAGAATCATTTTAGATTTTTGCAGTTCTGTCCAACAAATTGTTACTTGACAATCTTATTTACTACTTTGTAATGTTTTTTTGGAGTTGAAAGCAGAATTAACCTTAAAATACATTCTGGTGTAGTATTGTTAAATGCTTTAAATAATTTTGCTTTCTGGTGGCAGCCAAACATTGGTAGGGCATGACTAAAGTCAACATGGATCAAATAAGTTGTGTTTTGGTCTAAAGGGACATTGTGTAACTTTTTATCAAAATTCAAAGGCCAGTTAAAATATTTGATAAAGTTGCACTGATTGAATACAAGAATGTTTCTTAGTAAAGCTTCATAATGGAGAAACATTAAACCCAGAAACAAAAACATTTCAAGAGGATAATCTCAAAACGGATATCAGTGTTAGAAAAGGAGTGAATAGCTCCACCATTCTTGTTGTCCACTTCAATCGTTTAGGCTCCTACTATTAGAGGTATAGGTGTTGAAGAAGGCTTCATGAAGGCGGCACTGTCTTGAAATCTTTTTGCAAGCTTTTCCTTTTTTGTCAGCAAGGGGGAATGGCGGCCTAGTGGTTAGGAAATAGAGCTAGCCCTACTCTCACAGACTGCCACTCTGGAGCTCTGAGCAAGACCCGTAACCCCCGATTGCTCCAGGGGCACCCCACGATGGCAGTCCACTCCTCCCCAAGAGAATAGATTAAATGCAGAGGTAAATTTCTCCAGTGTGAGATCAACAAATTTCAATTATGCCTATTATTATCCTGCTGTTTATCTTCAGGTACCACCTGTAGAGCTAAGATCAGGGTGACACACATAATGCTCCAAAAGTTGGATGTTATTCTCGGGAGGAAGTCCTTGTCAGGCTTGCATTGTGAACTGCAGCCTTGTCCTGTTAAAAAACCCTTGACAAGGGCCCCCGGTTATGAAGGAAGTCCGTTGCAATATCTCCATATAACTAGCTGCTATTTAATAGTCCTGCACCACCTGAAGTTCAGTTTGAAAGATAAAGGCCCCAAACCATGCTTACCTGCACCATGGTGGCACCTATAGATCATCTCAGGGGGGATCTCTATGTCATGTCTGCAATATTAGGACCCATCAAGGTTACTTTTTTATTTCATCCTCTCAATGTCCTATAGTTGGCGCTCTCTGGCAAAGTTTCTATTCATAATTTTGTGACATCGAAGCAGAGTTTTGAAGCAGTTTCCTCAGGGATGGCGTCTGTTTATTTGGCGCTTTCGGCAACATCAGTATCCATAATTTAGACCGCTGGTCTATCCCGTTTCTTGATGGATAGTAAATTGGATCCTGTGGCTCATCAGTGCTTTTTTTTTCAGGTTTTTTTTACCCTTGGGATCTTTTAAGAATTTTGTATTGACCATGTTAGTCCAATTTCTACCATGATGACACATTATAAGAGGAATTGTTTGTGCAGCTCAACTACCCACCACTTTCAGAGTCTATGAGCTTGTTTATCTTCACCAAACAGGGGTCTAAACACTGAAAATATTTAACCAAAAAAACATGGAATCCAAGTTTTTGTCCAGATTTTGGCTTTTGAGGGGCAGTGTCTTAAGGTTTAGATCACCTCATTAACAGCCTATTTAATTTAAATTGTTTTCAACAAACTGCCTTTTCTGAAAAGCTTTTTTTTTTTTTTTTGCTCTCTTTTCTTTAACATTGTGAAGCTCTACTTAAAACCTTTTTAAGATCCAGCAGTGCAAACAACTGGCCTTTTTAACTGGACTTAAGGTTCAAATTAAGTTTTTATCAACTGTAAAATCAGGTGATTTTTATTAAGCTGATTTCAAAGTATATCAAACATGTTATATTGCTATTCTGAGCAATTGAGAAAGGAAGCATATTATTACGGGTGCATTTTACCTGCAGGCCTGTTTCTAAAGCCCCTTAAACTCTGCTGTTTATGTAGTTTTCTGCCTTCCACATTGCAGATAAACTGCTGTTTTCCACATTACCAGTGTGGTCCGGTCAGTCAAGCAGTTTTTCACAACAAACCCGATTGTTTGCAGGAGTCTTTAGATCATCAGTCATGCTAACTTTCTGGGTCACTGTCTCTCGTGATTGTACCACATGACTGAGCTTCAAGTGTAGTTTTTATTTCTAGTCAGAAGCCAACAGACCTCTGTTAGGAGTTTCAAAAAACGTGGGTTAAAGTCATTTAAAGAGAGACCAGATAACTTCTAAAGTGACCTCAGATTTCTAAGGCTGTTGGATGGATATTGTAGTGCAGTGCTGCCCCTCCCCCACTCATTGTTGTGCAAACAATAATGGGTTGAAGCATCAGCACCTAATAAAAATGTAATTTTTTGTTTTAAACGATTGTGTTGTAAAAAAAATAAAAAATCGTAACCAACGTTATCGCACTGTGAGAATCTCATGCTAGTCCGTGCCTTGATTTTAACATGAACTTTAACCCCTAAACACTAATGATGAGCACAGCAGGCCTAGGATGGCTCTGTTGTGGGTTTATGCAAGTTTGACTCTTCAGCTGGAAGTTAGGTTGCTATTCTTCAAAATTCTCTGCTTCAGAGTCTGTTTATCGGTCACCAATTGAAATCAGCTGAAGCTAGGAAGCATCACCTTCATGTATGGCAGGGTGCCTTAAGGACCAAGGTTGAAAAACGCTGATCTACGTGCTCAAAATACTTGCAAGAGTAAAAGGGCTGCGGGCTAAATATGTACTCATTTATTGAAGAGTTTCACACCCATGACCTGCCGTATAGCTGGCTTCATACTGATGCGGCGTCCATAGAGCTATGTTGTTAGAACAACCAAAAAAAAAGAGTTCAGGTTCTATGTAAAGGAAAAAAGTGTATGTCCTCTCATGATCCAGAGCTTGTAACAGCACACTTCCTCCTATTCAATCATTCATGTACACAAACATGAACCCCACCCTGTGTCACAAACCTCATTTCCCACATTTGTCCTCTCAGTCACACTGAAGGCTATTAATCAAGCACTCGTATTGCCATATTTTGAAAAAAACAGCAACTTTAATCATTCATTTGTAACACAATATTTATATCCAAGGTCAATATGTTAAAAAAGTTGTTTTTAAAAAAATCCCTATGGTATGGCATGAAAGGTGGATTTTTTTTTTTTTTTTTACAAATATGACCACCTTTCTTTTGCAGACAAGAATGCAGAGTCTCCAGCCTGACCCCGCTGCCCGCTACAAGAATGTGATGGACGCGCTTCGCCGGATTGTAGCCGCTGAGGGTGTCTGGCGACCGCTAAGAGGCCTGAATGCTACAGCTGTCGGCGCAGGACCCGCACACGCTCTGTATTTTGCGACCTATGAGAAACTGAAAAGGACTCTAAGTGATACCATTCATCCAGGCGCTAACAGTCATTTGGCTAATGGTACCATAAAACACCCCTTTGTATTTATAGAATGGTAAAAAGTTGTACAAGAGTTCAAGACTATTATGAGTTGAAAATTTCAACACGGTGGGTCAAGTCAAAGCTTAGTGCTCTACATGTTCAGGGTAAATTTAGGCAATTTGTTTCCAGTTTAGTTAGTGGCTGGGTAAATGGTTTCTCATCTTAAATGCTTCGTTTTAGAGTTTGTCCAAAATGCTTGTCCACCAGGGGTCACTCTTTGCTCAGGTTTGCCCCCATTGGAGGTGTCTCCTATGTTTGTATTTGCAAACTGTGCATCAGTTTTTCAGGGTTAGTGGTTTTGCTGAAGTGTAGAGAACTAAACTTTAAGGGGCAGATGCTGTCCATGTTTTGTTGCAAGTGAAATATTTTCATCATTGCTAGGTTTTCTTGTTTTCATGTGTGGTAACTGCAGAAGTGTGTCTGTCGGTGTGTGTTTCAGGAGCAGCTGGTTGTGTCGCCACTTTGCTTCACGATGCAGCCATGAACCCAGCTGAGGGTAAGGGCAAAAATCTTTAAAGCACGTTGTCTCTAACTGGGTTTGAGTTTTTTTTTTTCTTTCATTAAACAGTAGTTTTGAGTTTCAGAGGAAAGTTGCAGGTGCCGAGGCCCCCTTGAACTGTCCTCCATGTCGGCATCTAACCGGTGGTCTCGCCCACCTTTTTTCACAGCTTTCTCTGACCCACCTGCCCAAACATGTCATAGGAAGGACACTGGCTGGAGTCCCCTGTGCAGCTGTTGAGTTGGCTGCAGCTGTCTGAGCAAACTCTGAGTGAAATACTGTTGTTTTCTAAATAACAGAACATCAACTTCTGTTTGTGTATTTTATTAAGATTGTATGTCCTAGACCAACACAAACTAAAGGAAGCATGTGATTGGTGTGGAACGGTTAGGAAGGTTTTTGTGTGAACCACATTCTTATATATATTTCTGGACTTTGCCATTCTACCTCATTAATATCCTTTTATCCAAACAACCAAAGTTTTTTTTCATTTGTTTCTCTGTATTAAAGAGTTTTTATTATCCCATGTACTCTAATGTGCCTCCAAGTCCACATCTGATGAAAAAGCTTCAGGCAGTTTAATGCTGCCATCACTCTGTTGGGATGGCTTTTTTTTTAGGATGCTGTGCCATCTTTGTTTGTAGATTTACATTCAAGCCAAAGTGTTATATGTGATCTTCTTGACTAGAGATTCTTCCATCATGTTTTCTTTTTCCATAGATTGCCCTCAATAGTGCCCCTGTCAAAGCCGAGCATGATTTGAGGAGGGGGCTCTGGTTCTTCTCAGCTTATGCTGAAAATAGAGATGTTGTTGAGCTTTCCTGGGCAGTGATGCAGTGTTGCTGGACCAGGAGAAATCTTCTTAGATATAAAGACCCAGGAGCTTGGTGCCCCTCGGCCTCTCCACAGCTGCACCATTGTTGTGTAGAGGAGCATACTGTGTGTGAAGTCTCCAGGTCGACAACAGTCTCCTTTGTCTTCTCTACATTTTAAAGGAGGCTGTTGCCCCTGCATCATCCTGCCAGGCTTCCCACCTCACTCCTGTCGTTTCTTTTGTCTCTGTCTGATTAGACCCACATAGACGCCTATAAATCTAATGAAGTTGGAGCTATTTGTTAGTGTGAAGTCACAGGTTAGCAGGTGGAAAAGTCGTGTGCATTGTGGGCAGGTTCAGAATGAAGGTGCTGCTTTACTGTCAGAAAAATCCAACAGCCAGTTGCACAGCGAGGTGCTGAATCCCAGCTGGTCCAGTTTGTTGGTAAGCTGCTGGCAGATGATGGTGTTAAACACTGAATTAAAGTCTATGAACAATGTTCCAACATAAGTCTGTTATCTAGAGGTGTGAGGGCCGACCACTTCATCAGGATGGGAATGAGTGACACTCGGTAGTCAAAACATTTAGTAGACAAACAGGAGCTGATAACTGCTGCAATGGAGCTCATCCAGTATTGGATAATAAACTAACTAGTCTTCTCTGCTGGAGGGGACACGTTAACTTACGCCAAATATAACTTTGCTGTTATATTAAATTACCTTACCTGTCCAGCAAAGAGCCTGTAGTCTCTGGGTCTGTTTTGAAGCCCCTCCCCATTATAAATTGGTTTCTACCTGCTTAAAGCTGCACTGATGTAGACACCTGTATTCCTTTTTTTTTTTTTTTTTGGTTTGTTTCTCTTAACCCCTCACAGGAAAAAGTATGGGTGGTCCTTTATTCTAACAGAAAGTGAAAGGTAGAATGGTCTATGGCTGCTTTTGGCAGCCTGTTAAATTAAA